CGAAACCCCACGTGCGAAGCAAAATGTAAGAGACACAGGATTGACGATGACACCGTTGTTTGGGCAGAATGGAACTTCTCGAACTATGCTCACACCGTTGTTTGGGCCTTAAAGAGTTAAAAGCACATGAGGCCTGGAAGCTGGCTAGGGAAAGGGATACTTTCAGGTGTGCTGTTAAGAGAGCGACGTTCTTTAAAGGACGTGCTGATTGATGATGAGGTTGGAGGCATAGTTCCTGTAAGAAGAGGCAGGGGTCAGCTAATGTCAGAATGGACGCAGAACATTAGAGTTACCATTTACATGAAAATACTTAAGACTAAGCTATTGGCAAGGGACCAAGATTTTTACTGGCATGATAGGAGCGCCTTTCTACAAAAAATCTTGGTTAATAAATTTCCCTGTTATGGTAAATGGGTGGGGGAGGTAGATCGGCTGCAAACCCCTTCCCCCCCCCCCCCCCCCAAAGTGTGTGTCATAAAAGTTGACTAATTAGGGCATTTTCCTTTGAAGTTGCAGTGCATTTGCCTGAGAGGCAAGGAACCAACAGTCTGCATACAGATAACACAGATCTCTGAAATGATTTACATGCAGAACTCAGGTTCTGAAACAAGACTTAAGTGGTTGAACAACCATAACTTTCTGCTGGATTTTACAGCCAGTGACCGCTAAGAAGAAAATCTCAGATTATGTACGCAGATACATCCATGACCATGTCTTGCAGTGATGCCCTGGAGCCTTTGATTTGGTGTGGCATATAAGTTAGTGTGCCTGCCTACCATTACAGGTCTGGGTTTAGTCCTCAGATTATTTTTTTTTTAACCAGCGTGGGTGTTCCTATGTAGGCTGCAGGGTCCATGTGGGGGTGGGTGAAGGCTGATAGGCCCATAACCCTCTAACCCAACAAACATGTCTTAAAAGGCAACTAATTAGGGCTTTGCTTTAAATCAGATGTGTTGGGTCCAAAGGCACAGATGTTGCATCCAACCTGCAAATCACAACACAACATACCAGTCACTTTTAAAAGTGAACACAGAAGTAGAAATCATGGGGTCATCCCAGCTTCATCAAATCGGCAGCAAATAGTTTTTGTGTTCTGATTGGCCTATATGGGTCTAGCACCATATAACCATTTTTACAGTCTTTATTTATAGTTAATCAGATTTATCTTGAATGTGTATTCTTGTTTTTTCTGGTTTATAGATATTGGATATTCTCTCCTGGTAATGCTGGTGTGTTGGGAAATGAGCGGGCAGATAAACTGGCCGGTTCTGCACCACTTGGTGGTGAAATGATGTATGACAAGCTAGATGTTGTGAGGGCCCTTTAAGAGCAACTGAACAGTGCGGAAGGGCAAATAGATCACTACGGTCTGAGCAGAATGACGCTGCGAGGAGTTACCAGGGGATCTGGCCGATGCTCTACACTCAAGGGAAAGGCAAGACGGATATACAATCTGATAGTTACTGGTACCATCAGAATTTGAACTCTTTATTTGCTGCTGAAGATGGGGACTGAGCGCTCATGGGGGTATCCCGAGGGCTTTGTTGTCGATTCTTAATTCAACGTTCATTCTGGTTTATAGTTAACTGGATTTATCTTGAATCTTTATCCCTGTGTTTTCTGGTTTATTGTTAAACAGATTATCTTGAATGCTTATCCTTGTGTTCTCTTATTTGTTTCAGCTGACCTGAATGCAATTGCACCATTAATCTCCAACTTTTTCCTCATGTCATATGCGCTGATCAATTTTTCCTGTTTTGATGCCTCTATTGCCCGGTCACCAGGTTAGAACATGTTTAACTCAGTTAAGAACTGTAGTTTTCTTTACATGCAGAATAAGATGTAGCTAAAGAATTTAAGAATTTGAATTGTTCTTCATTATTTTTTTTTTTCAACACCCACGGAAAATAGGATGATGGCTAGGACAGAAGCAAAAATATAGATAGCATTTTATTTTATTGCAAATGCGACACCTGTTTGCTTAGAAATGAGCTAATTTCTAAGCAAACCGATGTTGCATTTGCAATAAAATAAGATGCTATCTTTTATATATATATATAATATATATATTTCTGAGAAATGAAGTACTGCAATATCCAATTAGTTTCTCTATCTGGTTTCCACTGTAGCTGCTACATGATTGGGTATAATTTTTTGACCGACTGCCAGGAAAATGTCCATGGATAGGTGTGAGTCCATGGACCAAAGGTTGAAGAACATGGTTTTAAATTCTATATGTGTTACTGGGGCCTAAATGGGAGGCGAAGAATGAAGTAAGTCAAGTATCCTTGATGCCTGCGGCACGTCAAGCATATGATGCTGGACTTATGTTTCTGTAGACCAGTAACACTTGTTGAATCTGGAACTAAAGTATAGTATGCCCTGCATCTGCTAAAATCAAAGTCTCTGCCTCATAACACCAAGATCAAGATATATAACATGCTGATAAGACCAGTTGTTTTATATGGCTCTTATTCACTGGCAACCGGGTGACTAACTCCTTGTGGTCCTAGTCCACGCCCTGGGTTGGTAGAAAAGCCACATTTCTTCCAGATTTATCTCATGGGAATAAGGGCAATGGGTTGCGATATCCATAGTACCGAGCCAAAGGGTTAACAACTCATGGTTTCCTGAATATATATATAAAAATATGGCTCTAAAACTTGGAGCACAACTAAATGAGATGAAGCCTTATTAAAAATTTTCGGAAACTAAGTCTTATGATGAATCCTTGGACCCATCAGATATGCAAACAGCAGGCAATGGGGAGAGAAGTAACAGCAAAATTCATAATCTGTTGAATCACCATTGATCACTGGCATTGTGAGGTTTAATAGACTGAAGTGGCTGGGGCATTGATCACTGTCATTATAAGGGTTAATAGACTGAAGTGGCTGGGGCATTGATCACTGGCATTATAAGGGTTAATAGACTGAAGTGGCTGGGGCATTGATCACTGGCATTATAAGGGTTAATAGACTGAAGTGGCTGGGGCATTGATGGTTGGCATTATAAGGGTTAATAGACTGAAGTGGCTGGGGCATTGATCACTGGTATTATAAGGGTAAAAAAATGGTGGCGCGGTGATTTCGGTCACAGGCATGAGGGGAAGTTAAGTCTGATGTGATGGGTATAAGGAGATATTCCGTACCCCACTCGGGCACCAGTCCTTCACTGTTCTGGTTTTACTGAACCTCATGCAAGACTCCTGCTGCACGTCCCCGTCGTGCGCCACGGATAATGTCTCAAATGAGCATTAACAGAGTTGGCAGGGGATCTCGGAGCTGGCGGCCCCTAGAGGTGTAGTGTCCTTTCTGGCTCTCATCAGCCCCAAACGCATGGGTGAAAAGTCTATCAAAACTCATTCGGAACATGAGTAAGGATTGCTTGCCAAATGTACCCTCAAATGACAACTCTCGATTAAAAGTCTGGAGCGAAGGAAAAACTGTGCTGCTGAGACTCACCCCTTGACCGAGAGATTTACCCGCAGCCAAGACGGCTAACATCTCTTGTGGGTGAGTTATCGCAGCAAGATCCTACCTACGTACATCCTCTGTCAATCCTCAGCGTCGTCGTCACAGCGCAGAGGTACACCACGGCAGCAACTTTTAATCTGCTGGCTAGGAAATAATGTCTGACAAAGTTAAATCCTACGGCACACATGCAAGCCCAAAGTCTGACTACCATAATTCGTACCGATTAGGAAAAGTCCAAATGTCCGTATCCACTGGTCCCACTCGCCCGAGTGTCGGGACCGAACAGGCGAAGCCATGCCTGACGCATGTTGCTTCCCCATTCTGTCGTGCCAAGGGCACAGTTGAAACAACGTTAAAGGTGTCTAACGTATGATGAAAAAAAAGAATGTACCCATTTGTGTGGCCATAAAAGTCCTGGACCTGCGGGCTACTCCCCGCTGATCTCCGGAGAGCGCAGCCTTGTAGCACGGGAAGCTCAATACACGGTTGTGAGGTTAAGCAGTCATGGGCAGGACGTGACGATTCCTTGGGTGAGCCCAGAACCAGAGCATCATGTGTCGGCTCTGCATTTATGGAAGCCTCCTTGGATGGCAGGGAATGCCCATGATCTGCCCCTGCCTTCCCTTGAGGGCTGACAATTCTACCTAGGGCTGCCTTAGGAGGATTTTCCGGGGGCCACACCTGTTAAAGGTCAAAGAGGACACCACACCAATTAGGCAACATCTCGACCCACACAAAACAATGGCCACAGTCAACCTAGAAATAGGCGTGACGTCTTCCCTCGAAGTCGGAGTACATCTGCCGGTGAGGTAGGGAACGAGGACTGCAAACAAATAAGACAGTAAAACGGATGTACACGCAAAACTCAGGTCGAGGTAAAAGCCAAAAGTCCATTTGGACGAACAACAGTGACTTACCGCCGGAATTCACAGCCGGTGAACAAGAAGAAGAAGAAGAAGAATAAGGGTAAATAGATTGAAGTGGCTGGTGCTTTGATCACTGGCAATATAAGGATAAATATACTGAAGTGGCTGGGGCATATTCCGAGAATGCCAGATGACAGAGAGGTTAAAACTGTATACAGATTAGTTGAATGGTCATAGATCATGCAACAGACCAAAAAGACAATGGAGAGATTGTCTGGGCAGACCTACAAACACTTAGTGTCACCAACTGGCAAGAGAAGGCCAACCAGAGAGATGAATGGAGGCAGGTGATATTTGCAGCAATAAACTACAAGGGCTCGGAATGCTGACCACTTTTATTTTGAATTGCATTTCCTGGTATCCATTTTATGATGGCTGAACCTGGAAACCAAAGTCAATTATTTCCACCACCCAAAAAATATTTCCAGTGTGTATTTAAACCTAAGACTTTTGGGTCGACAAGCAAGCATTAACCATTGTTAGGCAACATTGTATTGTAAATTATGATTAATAATATTAAATGTTTATGAATTATTAAATTTGCTGTCTTCTATACCCATTGGAAAATTGTGAAGCAAGCTCTTCAATGTGTTCACAGGTTGGAGACCTGCATTTCGTTTTTACAATAAGTGGCTGAGTCTGGGAGGAGCCGTACTGTGTATTGTGGTCATGTTCATCATTAACTGGATCACAGCACTGGTGACTTTCGGTTGTGTGGGCAGTCTCTTCATGTACGTCCGCCACTGGAAGCCAGGTATAGGAGCCTTCCCTATGATATTATCATCATGTTATTTATCTGATGGTGTAGACACCCATGTCTCTCCTTAGATATCAATCCTTAGTGTTCTAGATCAGTTCTTCTTCTTCTTCTTCTTCTTCTTCTTCTTCTTTGTTCACTGGCTGTAAGCTCTGGCAGAAAGTCCTGGTTGTTCGTCCATTTGGACGTGGCTTTGTGCCAGGGCCTGAGTAATTTGTGTGTACATCCATTTTACTGGCTCATTTGTGTGCAGTTAGTTGTTTCTTACCGCTCGTCAGATGCACTCCAACTTCGAAGAAAGTCTCCAATTAGCTGACTCCTATGACATGCTTTTTGGGGAGGCAGTGGGTCTATTCTTGTTTTCTCCACAATGGGGTTCCAGAACCCACTCGGAGAAGATCAGTTCTGTTGGTAATATTCACCATTATTGTGAGGTAATGATGACATTTTATATTTTAGTGGGGTAGAGTTAACACTTAACAAGTTTTTAACACTTTTAGTACAATGAAGTCCTTTCTCTTCTTCTGCTTTCACATTAACTGCTAGATAGGCATTTGGTGTTGTAGCTTACAGCTAGGCTGTGTACATTTTGGCCCAACACATATGAAAACAACAAATTCCTAATTAGTCACCTGTTGTGAGAAGCTTGTTAGAAGACGCAAGCCTATTCTTTGTTTTCCCTAAGATTAGCCTCAGAACCCACACTGACATTCAGACATTTATTACTACTCATATAATGACTTTATTAGGTTTAGGTTTGTACGGTGACCCATAAATGCTCCATTCTACTTCTAACACTAGTCTGTGTCCGAAGAATCTCAGCGCAGTGCACAAACTCCGTAGCATCCTGAAATATTTTGGGTAGACTTTTAACTCCAAATTTTGCCTGGGCAGCGCCCTTAGGCTACTCTTTTTCAATTTCCAACTGCCAGGGGATTTGTTTACATCTGCAGCAATACTCACGGGCGTCCGATTCTACTACCCAGAGACCAGGGAAAATTACTAGAAGTCCACATGAAAAAAATGCCAGCCTTCACCGGGGCCTGAACCTGGGACCTCCAGCACTCGAGGCGGACGCCATGCCTCGAGACCACGCAGCCCCTTGAAATGACTTTACTGCAGAGCAGGAGTTATGGTAACAATTAGGGAAACAGAGATGACTAGAATGTCTTTTACACAGGAATCCACAAGGGTATCAAAAGAAAGGCAGACCCAAAATACGTGAAGAGAACAAGAAAGCGAGGTTGACTGAAGAAGACATAGGGTGAATTGCATGTAATGGCAAAGGACGTGAATAGTTGGCTAACAGCCTGTGCTACTTTGAGCAAAGAAAGTGCAGAAGATAAGAGAAAGGACAGTGTAACAACTGGAGTGAACCATAAGGAAGTTAAGAAAATCATAGCCTGCATGTCTTGATTCAACACATCATGTGTTGCTTGATTCTATTGATCATTCAGTTTGTCCCCTCTGGTCTGCTGCCTAAAGGTTTACTATACCATCCTAAGATGAAAGAATCTCAGTGTGGCTGGCATATCCTAGATGCCGCATTCAGACTTCAAAGAGGTTATAATTAGGGCATGTGTAACAGCTATATCTGCCTAGTGTAACCTGCAATACCTTGCACGCTGAAGACGTTTTGAAAAATCTTCATTTATAGATAGCATGTACTGTCTAGCAAAAGATGTGTTGGCAAGTATTCCTTGTGTTTGCAGATGTGAACTGGGGATCCTCAACTCAAGCCCATGTGTACAGAAGTGTGCTGCAGTCGGCTCTCCGGCTAATCCGCATTGGAGAGCATATTAAAAACTTCAGGTTTGCTGAGATAGTTTTTTTTTTATCCGTGTGTATCAGCTTCAGAAACATCTGATTGTAGCAGAAATATGGGTTAATAATGTACACGGAAATTTCAAAGAAAATCATGTATGGAAATAAATTATTATTCTCCTCCTCCTCCTCTTGTTCTTCTTGTTCTTCTTGTTCTTGTTCTTCTTGTTCTTCTTGTTCTTCTTGTTCTTGTTCTTCTTGTTCTTCTTGTTCTTCTTGTTCTTCTTGTTCTTCTTGTTCTTCTTGTTCTTCTTCTTCTTCTTCTTCTTCTTCTTCTCTTCTTCTTCTTCTTCTTCTTCTTCTTCTTCTTCTTCTTCTTCTTCTTCTTCTTCTTCTTCTTCTTCTTCTTCTTCTTCTTCTTGCTGCTTCTTCTTCTTCTTCTTCTTAATTCTTCTTCTTTCTTCTTCTTCTTCTTCTTCTTCTTCTTCTTCTTCTTCTTCTTCTTCTTCTTCTTCTTCTTCTTCTTCTTCTTCTTCTTCTCTTCTTCTTCTTCTTCTTCTTCTTCTTCTTCTTCTTCTTCTTCTTCTTCTTCTTCTTCTTCTTCTTCTTCTTCTTCTTCTTCTTCTTCTTCTTCTTCTTCTTCTTCTTCTTCTTCTTCTTCTTCTTCTTCTTCTTCTTCTTCTTCTTCTTCTTCTTCTTCTTCTTCTTCTTCTTCTTCTTCTTCTTCTTCTTCTTCTTCTTCTTCTTCTTCTTCTTCTTCTTCTTTCTTCTTCTTCTTCTTCTTCTTCTTCTTCTTCTTCTTCTTCTTCTTTCTTCTTCTTCTTCTTCTTCTTCTTCTTCTTCGTCTTCTTCTTCTTCTTCTTCTTCTTCTTCTTCTCCTCCTTCTCCTTCTCCTTCTTCTTCTTCTTCTTCTTCTTCTCAATCACCAGCAAAAAGTTAAGGTTATTTGTCCACTACTTGACTTTATTTAGTCTTGTTCCAGAATGTGAGTTTTGAGTGCACATCCATTTTACAGATCTGGTTTTTGTATACAGACTCTTGATTTCTTGCCTCAGACAGATGTACTCTGATATCAAATGATGTCCCCAATTAGTCGACTCCTACAACTTGCTTGTTAGGGAGGCAGTGGGTCTATTCTTGTTTTCCCCATAATGGGGCCAAAGAACACACACGGGGAATGTGTTGTGTTGGCACCCCTCCATGACAAGACAAAAGGCTGTCAATAATCGTCTCGCCTTGTCTTCCAATGTTTCTTTTTCCGTATATCTTTTCAGTGTTCACAAAATGTTCCAGTTTCATCCTTCTCATAACATTACCAATAAATGATGACTCTCTTTCTGATGTTTTTGATAAGTTATCTTCAAGTCCTTGCCTCTTTTAAAATGCACATAAAAAATAGTGTGAGTGCAGAGTTCTAATTTGATGTCCTTTGGCAACCATAAGTTGTATCAAAGGCAAATGTTGGTATGAGTATAGCTGTAATAATGATTGACATGCTATCTTTCAGACCACAGGTGCTAGTGCTGTCTGGAGAACCTGACACCCGTCCAGCCCTGGTAGACTTCTGTGCTCATATCACCAAGAAGATGGGACTGATGGTGTGTGGCAATGTCATTATTGTAAGTGTTCAAATGACTTTTGTCCACCTTGTGGTTTCCAGGGCAAAATGGGGGGGGGGGGGGGGTGAAGGGTTAACACCCACTGCCTTAGACAAGCATATTGTAAAAGGTGATTAATTAAGTGTCTTTCTTTCAAAATTGCCTGAGAGGTGAGGAATCAACAGTCTGCAGGCTGATAAGCCAGGTCTTGAAAATGGGTGTGCCTGCAAAACTCAAGTTCTGCAACAAGACTAAAGTCAAGAAGTGGACAAATCACCAGAACTTTCTGCCAGAGTTTATAGCTGGTGAATGCTAAGACAAAGAAGAAACTGCCTTTTATTTTTTACAAAAATAATAAAGGCACAAGTTATGATTTTTGTATAAGCTACTTCTAAAGCTTCTTTCAGTACTAAAGTGTAGCAAAGAATTTAGTGAATGAGATCAAAGTTTGACAAACATTGACACATTATGGTTGGATTTCTGCAGTGGACAGACTCAGACGCTTGCACATCTGTTTCCCATATCTGGCTTATTTGTATGCAGACTCTTGATTTCTTGCCTCTCGTGCAGATGCATTCCGACTTCGAAGGATGCCCCTAATTAGTCAACTCCTGCGACATGCTTGTTTGGGACCTGGTTTGTCTATTCTTGTTCTCCCCCACTGTGGGGCACCGAAACCCACATGGGGGTGGATGGTGGGAAAAGACATGCAATACCCATTGTTAAATTCTTTGAGAAACAAAGATGGAAGTGGTTCTGCCACAAAATTAGGCTAAATCCAGTAATGCTTGCTGTGAGAGTGTTTAACTTGAAAATGGAATTGTCAAGAGCTAGAACAAGATTATGAAGAAGAGGAATTGAAGGAGTCACTGACAGCTAAGACTTCACTGCATACTAAGCATCTAAGACTGCCCTGACTCAACTACTGATCATCTGTTGAACTGTGATACCTAGCAACACAAAGCAGATATTGACAAAAGAAGAGGTAGCTAGTCTGAAGCAGCCCATGATACCCAGGGAGAAAAAAACAGGCATTAGACTTCGCTCGCCATTGGCAAAAAGATAAGTGAGAAAATATACCTTTGTGAGATTAGTTGAAGCTTTGCTCACTTTGCTTGTAGTCTTGAGACCTAGTACTACAACATTATCCATTATAGTGTTTACCTTTAGCTTCACTACATTGCGATTTTGAAATAACAGAGAGATTTAATCACAACAGATGTTTGTATATTGTCTTTATCTTCTTGCTCTGTCTTGAAGAAAGTATTAAATATTTAGTTCTCTCACTCTCTGTCTCTCTCATTCACATACATAAAAAGATACACCTGCACTAGGCTAGCTCATTACATCAGTAGTAGAAACAAACAGGTGAAACATTTGTGGCAGTAAGCAGACAAGCATGCTACTGCTTTACCTGGTGCAGGCTAAGCAGCTTGTCTAGTTAGCTGGTATCTTACCCTCTTTCCCGAAAATAGTGTTCCATTTTGCTATAGGGAGGCGTGGCAATCATGGTCCATGGCAATGGCAAGTGTGACTAGCAAGACCACTTCATGTTTAAAATCTTCCAGAATAAATGGGATTTGTTGCCATTACATGTATTTTTTCTTCTTTTAACTTCACTGCAGTAAACTATGGCAGAAAGCTCTGGTTGTTCATCCACTCCTAGACTTTGATCTTGATCCAGAACTTGAGTTTTGTGTTCACATTCATGTCACACATATGGCTTATTTGTGTGCAGACAGACAACTCCGACTTTCAAGTAGAGAGCCCTAATAATTCGCCTCCTACAATATGCTTATTATGGGGGGTGGGTGTCTGTTCTTTGTTCTCCAAAATGGAGCCCCAGAAGCCACACTGTGAACATATATTTGATATGTTTTTTCTCAAAAGCTCAGCTCTGAACCTGTCGGTAGTCCTTCTCCTCTCCTTTGTCCCTAGTTTTCAAACTATGTAAATACTTCTTCTTCTTCTTCTAAGTCCATGCTGTGTGGTGTTGGTAGTCATGTCTGTCTACAACCTGTTATCTCCTGTACTTTCAGTCAACTCTGACACAGATGATATTCCATGCCATGATGTCAAACTGTCCAGCATCTGTTCTCTAAGTCTTCCTCTGCCTCTCCACTTTTCCTGCTGTTACAATGTACTCCAGTTTTTCTCCATCTCTTCACATGACTAAAGAATGTAGATTGTCTCTTTCTGATGTGGGCAATCAGTTGTCTTCTTGAGTCAGTTTTCCTCAAGATGTCCTCATTACTCTTTTTATCTGTGCAGGGTTTTTCTCATCATTCATCTATAAAACCACATCTCCACAGCTTCCAAACAAGTTTTCACTAATTTACCAACTTTAAATACTTACAGAACAGTAGTTGTGCAGTTTAGCTTGGAAGAATATTGCAGTTAAACCTGAAGACTTGACAATTTTCAAAATATTCTTTGTAACAAAACTTTGACTACGTTGTTGGGAAGAATAAAAGTAAATTTGGTTGCCTGTGGCATAATAGTTGTAATAGAAGCCAAAGACAAGCTATTAAAAACTGCCCATTGCTTTCCAGGGACAACAGCATGAACACCTACGCAAGTTGAGGTCAGATGCAGCCTATGCTTATTTTCGCCATCGACACATCAAATCTTTCTATTCTGCTACAACAGCTGCAACTTTCCAACTTGGAGCTCAGGCCCTTATGCAAGTATGGAGGAGCTTTTCTTTTCATGTTTCTTGCAAATATTCAATAGATTGTTTAACATATTAATTTTAATTTAATTTATTATATTTTATTGCATCATACTCAATGAAAGCTTAAAAGAAACCTCTATACGCAGCCATATCATATATCCCCACCAGCACTGCAGGTTATTTTGAACCCGCCGAGTGCCCTGTCATAACTGTTATACGGGACTTTGGGGATTTGCTTTTGTTGGATTCTCATCTGAAGGATGTCTTCTTGAATCAGTCAGACAGTCACTACAGTCTGTATGTATCACTTTTTAGGGCGGTGTAAACAGGGGGTCGTGAGCCTGAGGTTTTACGGCTGCAAGGCTAGTTCTGTTGCCACGAACTGTACAGGTTAGGATGTTAACTTGTGACTCCTCGACAGAAAAACTCCATCACCTTACAGGGGACGGACCCAGGTCTGCTGCATTAGAGCCTGACTTTGTAACTGCTCGGCCAGCCTCTTCTCATCTCTTCTTGAATCACTGGGTGTTAATCTTTCAGCATGCAATCCTAGAGGGAAAAATTACAATAACATTCAACTCCTTTCATTTGGTGGTTAACTCATTACCTAACCTGGAGTAGGCAGTAGACACTATCAGAGTTACCAGTGTTTGCTCATACAGATTTGACTCTTAAAGTGATCATAGAAAGATCTCATTCTGAAAATGTTTGAATTACATGTTATTCATATCAAGACATGATGTTAGAAGTTAAAGATGGAAATGTTACCTCATCAGTCTGATAAAATATTGAAACCGGAAACGGTTCTTTATTTATATCCTATCCCAGATGATGTCACAGGACAGTCCAACGTTTTAGAGGGTGGTAAGAATGGGTTTCCCGGCTTTAACGACCCCAAAACATCTAGAACTGGCCCTAACCCCAACCCACCTATGTCCCACGAAAGAGTGCAGCCTAGGACCCATGACTGCATGCAGCCTAGGTCCCACGACTGCATGCAGCCTATCTACCACCCCCTGAAACATTAGACTGTCTCGTGACCTGTGGATTTCCCCTGTTTGGGGTAGGATATTAATAAAGCACCCTGGAAACTTCCTCCATATCTTCTCATTCTTAGTTTTAAGAAGGATTACCTAACTAGGGATAATTAAGTTTAAATTTTTTTTAAAAATAAAGAATTGTTTTAAGAGGTGACACTTGCTAACTCTACTCCATCAATCTGACAGAATGTTGGAGTTGGCAAGTTCCGTCCAAATCTTCTCATTCTTGGTTTCAAGACTAATTGGCAAACAGACAACCCTGAAAATGTGCAGCAATATCTGGGGATCATTCAGTAAGTCTTCAGTAAATGAGTTTGAGTGTGAGGTGTTAGATGTTCTAGAAATATTATGTTCCGTAATATTATATTTTGGAATAATTGTAAAAGTGGACAAGTGCTGGCATACTTGAATCATTTTCAAAAATATTTAAATTATCAGGTGAATAAGACAAACCTAGGTTTAGAACAGCTAATATAGTCTTAGTCGAGGTTTCAACATCACCACATTCAGGTTTCCACATACTTGCTTTGTTTCTGTGCCAGTGAAAACATTATGAAATGTCCCTCACTGTCGCATTTGAAAAACTGGTGAAATAACAACTAGTCCCGGAACAATCCAGAAATATGTGCACACAGTAAATGTGCATTTCAGTTGCTAGATGTGCCAAAGCCAATAGTCACCACAAGAAATGCAGTTTATCATTGATGGAAGTAGTCGGGCACGATAAGTTGATTACTATACACACTTAGAATTATTACATAAGGTATTTCACGAACTCAAATTCAAACCGGCTACCAACCATACTGAATACCAGAACACAACAGCTGCACAAATGAAAGGCATGCCAAAGAAAAAACACAGCTTCCAGGGCTGCAACCAAGCACTAAACTCAGTAGCTCAGGCAGCGCCCTTATGTAGAAACTACAAAAATGCCTTCAAAATTAACATCCTGCTCAGGCCGGAAGCTTCCCTTATGTGGAAACTACAGAATGTTATCCTTGCCTTACCCCGTGCTCTACGTCCTTCTTCTCTTTCCATGTATGCTTTGTAAATTAAAGTGGGCATCTTTGTATGTAATCCAGAATTGGTTCTGCCGAGCTTTTGATCTCATCCTGATTATGGCTGGTCAAGTCCTACACAACTAATATTCCATTTCCGTGGTTACTAATTTTAACTTGTATGGTTTGTTGTGAGTGACCATGTCTGGCACTGGTAGCCGGAAGTCTACACAACTAATATTCCATGACAACTAATATAACTTGTAGCAAAATCTAAGCAATTAAGATCTATAATGGTATTCATATTTCTTATTATTTCTACTGATGCAAAAGGCCTGATGTTAACAGACTGAGCTGAAGCAAATTCCAAATGCTTTTGTGTGAGTGGGCACAGATAAAAGGGAACACCAAGTAAACTTGGCATGACTTGTCTAAGGTTGTCGTAACACTGGGGAGGTACTGCAGAAGTCAGATACATTTTGCCGTAGATGTCGAGATGAGGGCACTGATTGATCAGCAATTATGCCCAGAAGACGTCATTTACATAAATGGATCTGTAAATAGTGGGTGAAGATTAGCATGGGCATACACAGCACAAAAGATGGGGAAAAACAATAAAAGAGGATAGCGGCACTTAACAGATGACTACATAGAGCATGACCATGGAGATAACTGCTGCTCCCAGAACAAGCGGACACATATAATCGTATGAGAATTTATGAACATGCTTCAGAAAATCGCTACTGGTAGACTACACTCTGAATGGTTAGAAAGCATTTGGAAGTCACAGTTAACCTCCTTCATCTGGATCTACACACCTGGGCATGCAGGAGTAATTGGTTATGAAATAGCTGACCAGCTGGCAAGTAATGCACCAATGCAAATAAGAAGAAGCATGGGCAGAGCTGATTTTATCAATGCTATACAGACTAGGTTGGGGGATAATAGTGAATCTGTGACATTAACATGACTGGGTGACCGAGAAGTTAAGTTTGGTGAAGCATGACTGTGCCGTCTTCGAGGTAGAGACAGGAGATATAATCAACTACTCATGGGAACAGTCAGTAGAGATAGCTCGGAGTGGCTGCTGCATCGGAGGACTGAGCAGGCATGGGGATTCCGGTCTGCACAGACGTCGATTGTGATAACACAACATACCATAGATACTCAGATCTCCTTCTCAGCAGCTCCATATCCACCAGCCTGGACATAAATGCTGAATCTTGTTTGTTGTTGTAATCATCTTTATGATATGCATTCTATTGATTTTTTTTTTTAATTTAAATAAAATCCTACTTCTGCAAATTTGAACCCAAAACATTTAGGTGCTATGCTACTGCACTTTCTAAAATGAGTTAGACCTGAGGGATGGTAGTTTGGGGGGGGGGGGGGGGGGGATTGCATCAAATTGTTTCCTCACCACCTTTCGGTTATAAGCAAAATCGACCCCACTTAAAAATCAGCTACTTATTTCCTAGAGACTCATGTTTTTTAAGAAAGATATTTCTCATCTGATGACTGAACCCAGATCAGTTTGTTGGTATGCCATTCACCCTTCATTTACTGTGATAACATTTTCCACAAAAATATGCATCTGACTTGTTTGTTTTTGGCAGTGATGCATTTGATCTGAAGTTTGGTGTGGGAATCCTTCGTGTACAGGAAGGCTTTGATGCTGTAACAAGCACCACCATATTTGACACCAGACAGGATGAAGGTTAGCTGGAAATGTTTAGTAGCTGTGTTGATGAATTTAACTGTAGTATTTTAGCTAATCAGATCTACAGAGTTCCTACATTATGAGATGCTCTCAGAAGGCAGCTAGCCATTCTGCTGGCAGGAACTAAGCCATTTGGGATAAAAGTGTGCTGTGAAGTTAATTATCAACTTTAAACTGTATTTTAGTTCTCTCCTACAGTTAAGCATTTCTTGTAAATAGTAACAAGAGAACACATGATGAGTCACTTGGTAATGAGTAAGTTGCATTGCGGTCCATTACAAATCTCTAGAAAACCTATATTTTAATAGTGAGGCTTTTATTAGTCCCTGCCATGTCTGTTTAATGACATTGGTACTGTTTGCAACTGTACAGTGTTTGGAAGAGCCAGATATGATTATTTTTACTAAAAATAGCATTTAGGGAGGTTTGATTTTTAAAAATGGCTTCTTCTTTTTTTGTTCCCTTTTTTTTAATTATTAGGACGTCATTATTTGCATTTATTCTTTAGTAAATCCTATAGCAATAAGGCTTATTGTATATCATCAGATAGATTATTGTTTAGACCCAAGGGCAGGTAAAAAATTTTTTTTAAATTACCCACCACCATATATTTGTTATAAAAATTTCAGTATGTACACAAGTAGATTTGTTAGTGACCTGTGTCAACTGGTTGTTGCTTAACTCTTTCAAGCCCATGAATTTTGTCAGACTGGGCTCACAATAATTTCCCTTTACAAAAGTGGGGGGTGGGGTGGTGTAAAAAAAAAAAAATTGAAAATGTGAAATATTTATAATCCCTATAAAAGTATATTTTTTTTAAAAAGAGGAATGAATGTACATTTTGAATCTGTGTTATATGCGATATTAGGGGGTGTGTACCGCATATCTGGTGAAGTATCTAGGGTTGAATGATAATGCTTCACCCTTATATACAAAAATTCCAAAGTCAGCTATCTGACGACTATTTGGTTTCCCTACCAGAGAGCGCATAGACAACACAGTTACACATAGTCTACATCATACCACAAACATTCTAATAACAGTGTCAACAACAGTACTTTAAAAGTCCTCTCTATAATAGTGCATTAATTTCTTTATTAACAAACACAATGCAACGAAAATGAATTAGTGATTACAGAACTACTGTCCATCTAAGACTCCCAAATGCTCATTGGTAAACTTCCAAGACGGCATCACCTCAAAGGGCGACAACACCTAGCCTCGACATGACTGGAGTCCACAACATAACACACCTCCGGCCTACGGGCCTACCTCTGGGGTCACCAGTAACCTTTAATAAACGCATTTGGTTATGTGCCCACACTTTGGGTCACCAATAACCTAAAACAGCAATTATATCTGTATAAGCCAGGCTGACCTGTGGGGAAGCAGATGAATAGTACTGATATCAAAAGACCCTCAAGGTTAAATATAACAGCCATTGCAACGAATCGGATCAGTTTGTGCCCACTTGTGTGCGAACATACACTTGTTTACAACAACAACAACAAAAAATGTTCAAGTAACCTTCTGTGAATAGTTTAATGGTAGTTCTGAAAATTTGAAACGAATACGGAGCCGATGGGAATCAATATGTATGGGACACATAATCCATGCAGACAGTATTGTTTGGGCAAATCGGAAAGTTACAGGATTTATTTTTAGTAATTCTTGGGCTCATGACATTTGACAAGGGGTGAAAGGGTTAAACTACTGTAATCTGTTAAACTATTGAATCTGAAATACTGAATCTAAGTTACTCTGTTAAACTACTGTAATCCGCTAAACTGCTGTAATATATTAACTCCCTGATCTTGTAAACTACTGAATCTGTTACACTGGTGTTAGAGACTACGATAATTAATACAGAAATGTAAAATTTCCCAAATGACAATAATTCTATCTCTCACCTCTAGAGCAAGACCAAAGTGATGATGAAAGTCCCCATGGGACGCCTGTGACTCAGTCTGAACATGCAGGGATAGGAGGAGCTAAGGGAGAGGACATGAAAGACAGAGATCTAGAGATGGGCAGGAACGGCGGAGGCATGCTGAAAGATTCTGCCAGCAAAGGCATGCTGGATGCAGATGAAGACGATGAAGAGGAAGGACAGGGAGATATTGTCGACATTTTAAGTCCTAAAATTTTGAGCAAGTTCAACACTCAGGTATTTTTATTTTCCTTCTACTCCTCCTACTTCTTCTTCTTCTTCTTCTTCTTCTTCTTCTTCTTCTTCTTCTTCTTCTTCTTCTTCTTCTTCTTCTTCTTCTTCTTCTTCTTCTTCCTTCTTCTTATTCTCCTCCTCCTTCTACCTCTGCTTCTTCTTCTGTTTCTGCTTCTGCTTTCTGCTTTTTCTTCTTCTTCTTCTAGTTTTTTTTTTTTTTTTTTTGCGTTTCCCGCTTTAAACTCCTGATGGAAAGTTCTGGTTGTTCATCCCCTTTCTGGACTTAGTCTTTGCTTGTTTCAGAATGTGAGTTTTGCATGCAAATCTCTTTTACATAATTTTGTTAATGCAGACTGTTGGTTCCTTGCCTTAGACAAATTAGTCACCTTTACCACATGCTTGTTAGGCTTTTGGGGAGGGTGGACAGTGTGTCTGTTTTTTTCTCCCCTACAGTGGGTCACCTGAACTCATGTGGATAGAGTTTTGGTCCAAAAGTTATAGTTTTTATGTAAATTTCTCATATTTGTTTATCTTGTAATGGAGAAGAGTGTTTTGTCCAATATTTATAGTTTCTTTTTAAATTTCTCAGATATGTTTATCTTATAAAAGGCAGTATTGGTCCCAAAGCAGATACTGTCATAAAAAGTGGGAAGTGGGATGGTCATTATGAAAATTTTCTGGTGCCTTTTCTTGGTGCCTAAGCTGGTACCTAGTTTGCGCGACCCTTTGAAAACAAAGTTTGTTCATTTGTTTGTTCATTCATTCTTCTGATGCTTAGTCAACCTTAGCTAGAATCCAAATATAATCCTGGCTCTGCTTTGGAGGTCTGAATTTGGGCCACAGTTTTGGTCCTGCAGGCAAGTGCAGCAACTATTATGCCACTATAGTTATTTATGTGTATGCAAGGTGTCTCGTAATTGGCCATACATTAAAAACAAAAAAACAAAAAAAATTTTTATGAAAACCATTTATAGTTATATGATATTCTCTACATGAATACCATTATTTTGAAAACATAATTGAATGTGTGTCCTCCCCTGCTGATGAAAATATATAAGCATGGTTGGAGAACTTATGAGATTGTATTACATATTTATAAGAGAAAGGGGTGGTAGTTTAGATCAGTGTTTCTCAACCTTTGTTACACCCGCGGACCCACCAAAACAGGGGAAATAGTTTCGCGGCTATCTAGTCATGGAAACAAAAACAAGTGGGGGTAGTGGTTAATTACTGAATTATGTGTCACAGAATTTCCGTTTCAGCCGAAGCGTTTGATTCTCATATTGAGGTGTTAATCTTGCAGATGAAATCCTAACCTACCATACCCCTGTTACATGATTAGGCAGATATTTTTAGGGGCCCACCTGAACCATTTTGTGACCCTTTAATGTGTTGCGGCCCACCGTTAAATAACATTGGTTTAGACATTTGTGGCATTACAATTTATGATGATCGGTATTACCAGTCGATCATGGTGAGAGCCCCATATTGTGATCTGTGTGCTGTGCTAGATTTATATTTGTATTGACCAACCAGTACTTAATGAGAAATGCAGCAAAATCAGGCTGGCCACCTTTACTTCCCAGTTCATTACCTGGTACCCATTTTAGGCTGAGTTAAACGGAAAGTCAGGCCTAATTTAGGGAGGGGGAGTCTGCCTTAGTGTGGATGAAAACCCAAGACCTTTGGGCTGGCAGTTCAGTGTCGTAGAGCAACTCTGTACTTGAACGAAGGAGCGAACAAACTAACTTTACTTTCAAAAGAATTTTGTGCTCAGACGCATCTGACATTTTGCCCTTCTAATCTCCCTCCTTTCTTACATCATTTTATTCATGCATCAAGTAATAGTAAATCTTAATAATAGCATTAAAATATCAGTACAAGCACTGAAATGTGCATATTTCTATCTACAGTCAGAACATTTCCCTGAGCAATCTAAAAGGGAGTAAAACATACTTTTCTATGCTGTTTATTATTATAGTCTTCTTCTGCCTTTCTATCCCCCAATGGAGCATAGGCCCTCAACCAACTCACGCCAAGTCGTTCTATCCTTCGCCATTGCATGGAGCTCTCCCCATGTCCTCCCAATCTTTCTAACCTCGTTCTCCATCTCTCTTCTCCATGTGTTTTTTGACCTTCCTTTATTCCTATGCCCCTGTGGGTTTCAATGCAAAGACATTCTAGTAATGCTGTTCTCCTGTTTTCTCAGTGTGTGCCCTATCCAACGCCAGCGTCTTTCCTCACTTCCTGATCCACTGGAGCCTGTTTAGTTCTCTCCCAAAGTTCTACATTAGTTATTCTATCATACCATTTTATTCCCTCTATTCTGCGCAGGCACAAGTTAATGAATGAATGTAGTTTATTAGTAATTGCCTTGGTTGTTCTCCATGTTTCCGCTCCATACAATAGTACTGATTTGACATTAGAATTAAAAATGTTTAGTTTAGTATTTCTTTTAATTTCTTTTGACCTCCACAAATTCCCTAGTGCTATGAAAGCCCCTCTTGCCTTTTGTATTCTTATTTTAATATCTCTATCAGTTCCTCAAATTATCTTGTAATATGAATATAAGTGACAATATATATGTCAGCCAGTCTAGTGAAACCACTTTTCAGTTTATGCACATTTTTTTTTCATTTGATAACAGATGCTTAGAAGTGTGAACAAATTCCGCAACAAAGAGAAAGGAACTATAGATGTTTGGTGGCTCTTTGATGATGGAGGTAAAATAATAATTACTTTTTCTTTGAACGCCTATAATTGGCAACTGCTTGCTGCTTCTTATTCTTCTGCTTTTGCTTTTGTCCTAAAAATGTGTTTGTAACACTGCGTTTTGTGGTTGACAGCCTTTCTGTCCAAAAAATCTCTGATTTCAAGAAACTCCTAATTAGCTTTTTTTTTTTTTTTTTTTTTTACAACATGCTTGTTAGACGACAGTGCTCTTCCCAGAATGAGGCCCCGAAACTCACATGGGGAAAATTAGTTACTGATTTTCTCTTTCGGTACGAGGATTTAGCACATGAGGACCAAGGGGCGGAAATGAAAATTGAGAAAGTGGAACACATTATAACAGACTGCTGTGCAACATACACATATTATACATCAAAGTGACCATACACATATTATACATCAATGTGACCAGGAAATGTTAAGGAATAATATTAGAACAATTCTGCAACAGATAACTGTGAGTAGTAAAATATTATCCGACTCGTAATTTAATGTACCGCGATCAAAACCCACTGCTGGCTGCGTGGATTTTTATCGTGATGTGGGGCGTCGCAGGTCGACCAAGCCTAAAATGGGTACCTGGATGGCTGTCCTGGGGAAGTAAAGACGGCCGGCATAATGCTGACCACATTACCTATCCAGTGTGGGTTGGTCTGTAAAAATATGGGACGCTCTTCCCAAATACCCGATGCGCCTAAGGCGTGAAAAAGGATCTTTACTTTTTTTGTCTTTAGAAAATATTATATTGAATTCGGAATCGACAATATTATATTGTATTCGGAATCGACATCACAGCACCTATAAGCGCTCCGTCCCATCTTCAGCTGGAAGCGAAGAGTTCCAGTTCCGATTGCACCAATAACTGTCTGATTGTATATCCGTCTCGCCCTTCCCTGAGTGTTGAGCATCTGCCAGTGTCATTCTCCCCACACCGTAATGATTATCTGTGCCTCCACACTGTTCAGTCGCTCCCAAAGAGCCCTCACAACATCCAGCCTGTCATACATCAGTTCACCACAGTTAAATATTATTAAATACACAAACAACGTTTTAAGAATATTATTAAAATGAAATAATTATTTGTCAGTTTATAGTCTTGCTGTAAATCACATGTCAACACCCCTTCTTTTTTTTTTTTTACAAATAAAGACAGAAGAAGACTTATGGCTTTATAAAGTATCAATACATGTATGGATACATTATGTTTGAAAATGAAGGATGGGGAGAAGCCAGGCTGTCCATGCCTGTTGGCAGGGCTCTAGTCTCTTCTCTTCTTAGAACTCACTGGCTATGTCAACTCTGGTTGTTTGTCCACTCCTGGACCTTGGTCGTGATCCAAAACTTTTTTTTCTTCTTCTTTGCGTTCAGTCAATCACATCAGTCCTCATCGCACCCAGAGGCACATAAGGCAGAGACAAACTGTCGCCACTCAATTTGATCCTGAGCCATCCTCTCTATCTCTAGTTTTGTCCTTCGCCTCCCTCGCCTTGAGTTCAGTCTCGAAGGTTCACCTCCAAGTACCTCTAGGTCTGCCTCCTCCTAGCTGTCCTTGTGGTGTCCATCCGTTTCACAGGTCTGACTCATTTGCATGCAGACTGTTGGTTCCTTACCTCTCAGGCAGATGTACTTCAACTTTAAAGGAAGCTCCCAATTAGTCGACTCTTACAACATGCTTTTAGGCAGGAAGTGGGTCTGTTCTTGTTTTCCCTACAATGGGGCCCCAGAACCCACACAGGAAATCCAGAACTTGAGTTTTGCGTTTTACATATCTGGCTTTTTTATGTGTAGACTGTTAGTTCCTGGCATTTCAGGCAGATGCACTCTGACTTTGAAAGAAACACCCCTTATTAGTCGGCACCTACTACATGATTGTTAGGGGGGACAATGAGTCTACTCTTTGTTCTCTAGAATATGGCCCCGTAACCCACAGTTGGAAGGGCTTCTAGGATAACTTCATAATTAATCTTATCTTAGATATGTTCTGTTTTCCCTGTCCTAGGTCTGACTTTATTGCTGCCCTACATTCTCACCACAAAAGCCTACTGGAGAGGCTGCAGATTGCGAGTGTTTGCTGCAGGTACCAAGAGTGGGGATCTTGGCTATGAGCAGAGACAGTAAGTTTCTGTGGTTAGCATCTCTCTCTTTATCTCTCTCTCTCTCTCTCTCTCTCTCTCTCTCTCTCTCTCTCTCTCTCTCTCTCTCTCTCTCTCTCTCTCTCTCTCTCTCTCTCTCTCTCCCCCTCTTTCTCTCTCTCTCTCTCTCTCTCTCTCTCTCTCTTCTCTCTCTCTCTCTCTCTTTCTATCTCAGTATATCTATATATATATTTATCTATATATCTCTCTATTATATATATCTCTATATATCTCTCTCTATCTCTATATATATTCTCTCTCTCTCTTTCTCTCTCTCTCTCTCTCTCTTGCAAGCACAGACACAGTGACAATGGGTGGGTGGAGAGGAGAGAGACAATGTATTTCTTTGTTGTATGTTTTGTGTGATCTAACCCTACTCTATTTATTATGTTTTATCGTCATATCTTGCTGTAGCCACTTTTATTTTACTCTCCCTAATACCAGCCACTAATTAGCTACCTATTCCTACCCTGATAGGTGCTAATTTAAAACAATATCTTAGTTTGAAGAAGTTAGAATACTAACACTACGAAAAAAATAAGCTGATCGTTTGGATATAGAGTGAGTTAATATAACAACTCAACTGTCTGTTATGGAAGAGAGCCAGGAAAGTTAGAATTTTGGGGCTAACGATTAAACAGATAGCGAGTTGAATTGTATAGAGAAAGTTAAATTAATCCTTGCCTATTTTTTAATATTCCTGCTACTTGTGTCAGTTTGTTTGTTCATAAGCCAACTCAAAACTCCTGATCGAGAAGTTTCCAGACAACTGATTGCATATATATGTAATGGGTATTTTGTGTGGGGGGGGGGGGGTGGCAGTCATATAATGCAGAGACAACGAAGTGTATATAAACTAGGGCTGTACCGAATATTCGCTTTGGGCCGAATAGTGGCCCTAATAACTATTTGGTATTCGGCCGAATAGTTGCGGTCGGGCCGAATACGAATGGTGGTTACCTTACACTCGTTTCTGGACATGTGGAAAATGAACATATCAAGATTTCCAACTTTTTGGTGAAAGCTATTGCTTTCTTGCTTGCTACATACATCCAGTTTTAACATATGGCTGTGAGTACTGGACAATCGGTAGGCAGGCCAAACAATTTCCTGAGGCCTCATAGATGTGGTTTTACAGAACAATGCTTAAAATACCTTGGACAGCCAGAAAAAAGCAACCAAGAGGTTTTAAAAGAGGCGGGAGCCCGAAGGCAACTACTCACAGACATCAGAAGGAGACAGTCGTCATTTTTCGGCCATATTATAAGATGAGGGAAAATGGAACGTGTGGTGACCACTGGAAAGATCTGTGGAAGGAGGGATAGACGAAGACAACGAGAGAAGATTCTTTAAAGTCTTGTTGCATGGAGGTGTGTCAGCACACGAACTAACACATGCTGCAGGAGATCGCAGATTGTGGCAAGGCATAATCGCCCATGCCATTCGGCAAAGCACCTGATGATGATGATTCACTTTTCATATTTGTATTCGGCCGAATAGTTGGTGCAGCTATTCGTGTTCGGCCGAATAGTGAAAATCACTGTTCGGTACTGTCCTAATATAAACTAAAGATATTTCAGTAATCTTTGACATCTTTTCCATTGCTTTGAAGTTCATAACTTTTCTTACATTTGTTATGTTTCTGAAGAAGAAAGTATCTATTGATTCCTTCAGTGGTACTGTTTGTGTTTTGGCTTTTCTAAAACTTTCACAAGTGTGGATCAGTATCTTTATTTTGTTGGCTGGGGTATTATTCCAGCTGTTACTCTTCTTCTTCTCCTTCTGCAAGTTCAGGTAGAAAGTCCTGGTTGTTCGTCCATTTGGACTTTGGCTTTGCGCCAGGGTCTGAGTTTTGCATGTACATCTGCTTTGCTGGCTTATTTGTATGCAGTTGGTTGGTCCTTGCCGCTCTGGCAGATGCACTCTGACTTTGAAGGAAGCTCCCAATTAGTTGACACTTACGATGCGTTTATTAGTAGGCAGCAGGTCTGTTCTTATTTTCCCCACAATGGGACCCTGAAACCCACAAAACTAGGTAAATTCTTTTGCTGTTTTTTATCACTATAGAACAATTGTAATACAAGAAACAGCTATGAATCAGTTTCAGCTGCAATTGGAAAAAGCCGTACTATTGAATAATGTGAAGTTTATTAGTGCTTCTGCTAAGTGAAGAAAACTAGCAAACACAACAATGCAAGTTTGTAACTAGCCATACTCACTAAATATCAGTGATACACAGTCAGAATCAGATTACATTGAAACCTCTAACTAATGCCATTCCATAAGTGAGATCGTATGGTAAATAACTTGTATCCTGAAACTAGTTTTCCGATTAATATAATTCTAATTCATCGCAGATCAGCCCGTTAGTTTGTTTACCAGTTCATCATATTAATTGCATTGCTTGCAATCATAAATGTTTAAAAACAAAATCCTGAAGCAAATTAGAATAAGTAAAAATTTACATAAAGCAACATGGTTAAGCTCACATTGGAGGTCATATGGCAATGGCTAGGGAGGTGTGGGCAAAAGGGATAGTTTTGTAATCGCTAATACAGTACCCTTAATTGTCTTCCTCCCTGAAGTGCTGTCGGGGGTAACACCAAAAATTCTGGATTTTACCTCATATTCTGGAGCAAAAATAATTGGTTAGCAATTAACCTCCATCATCTGGATTTATACACCTAGGCACGTAATGGTAATGAAAGCCCTGACCAGTTGACATGAAATGCACCAATGCAAACGGAAAGAAGCTTGAACAGAGATATCATCAACGCTGTACAGGCTGTGTTGGGGGATAATGGCAAATTTCTGACGCTTTCATGATGATGTGACCAAGGAGTTAAGCTTGGTGAAGCACATCTATGCCATCGTCCAGGTAAAGACAAGGGGTGCTATAACCAACTCCTCATGGGAACAATCAGTAGAGGTCTTGGAGTGGCTGCTGCATAAGAGGACTGGGGATGCTCAGTGTGCAAAAACATAGATTGTGATAACATATATAAGTAGTGAGCTGACCTCATATCCTAAAAAACCCATAGCCAGGTACATTCAAATCCTGATGTTCTACTATATATATCCTTCATGCCCACATAAAGTGTTAACCATCGCTGTCTGTATCAGCTGTCAACTGAAACTGTTGTACTGTTTCTCAGGTTAGCAACGCTACTGGCCAAGTTCCGAATTGACTGTAAAGACATGATGGTTCTGCCAGAGATTAACAAGAAGCCCAGTGAAGAAAGGTAACTGTTTTCTTGATTAAAACATAATGTACTTCTTTTCAGACAGGTACATACAAACATACATATATACATGCATGCATATACAAATGTGTGTACATGCTTGCATGCAGACAGATATAGAGATACACACACACTTACCTACTTAATTAGCTCTGTATATATGTAGGCCTGCAAGTGTGTTCGTGCGCACACACACACACACGCACATACATATATATACATACATACATACATACATATATATATATATATATATATATATATATATATATAAACACCACTAATCACTGACATACCTTCACATTAGTTGATTTGAAATTCATTTTGGTGGGGAATTGGTTTTCTGGCTGCATGCAGCTTCAGTCAGTCAGTTCTCATGCCACAGATAGCACCCCGGTACCCCAGGATTGAGTGCACAGCTATTTAGTACCACTATCAAAACCAGGCAGAGATCATTTGAGACATTTTCAGGACTATCACCCTACAAAATACTTGTTGGCAAGATCTTGAGAAGGTTATTGCTGATAAACTACGGGTGTTTTTATAAAGGAAAGAGCAGGTTATGGCAGCAATGGATATAGAACAAAGAATGTTGTTCACAATGTTGTTCAGTCTTCCAGCTTTCGATCCTGACGGTAAAAGATTATGGACTTGGAGTGCTTACCATATGAAAGTGTCAGCTGATGAAACTTGAACACTTACAGAATGAAGCCATGAGGGTAATTTTCGTATGTACAGGAGATGTTCATACGGAAATATGTTCCTTGTTCAATAAAAGATCATCTTCATCGCACATTGGACATGACCATAAGTGCTCCGATCTTCTCCTAAGTATGTTTCCAATCATTGTTAGGCTAATAATTCCCAATAGTATGTATGCGAAAAATACTTGTACTGCTGACTACAGATAGGCTCAAAAAGCTGCAAGGTAAGTTATATCTCAGAGTAGCTGCATAAAGCCCTAAGCAGGGTAACAGGCTGAAAAGAGGAAGGTATTGGATAGGGCAAGTTAAAGACATAATAAACATGTGTAGGCTTGATAACATTGTGTGAGGAGAGTAGTGGGTCAGAATGTCCCAGACTTGTGTAGTGTTCTGATTCGCTGGGCCATGAGTGAGCAGACTGGCCAGTGGGCACTGCAGAATCAGAAGTTCACAAATGATTCATGACACTTCTCGCCAAGGTGATGTGATAATCTATACAGATTGGTCTGTGTTAAGAAACAGACAAAGCTCATTGGGTTTCTTAGCAAAAGTGAATGGACATCGTGTAGTGCAACAAAGCTTGGCATATGACACCAAAACATCTAGTTTGAGAATGGAGGTGGAGGCAGTCACTGCAGCCTTTGGCTGGCTTGAGAATCAGCTTGAGAATAGATGTAATTGCAACTGACTCACAGAGCATGTTGAGAAAGGTGGAGACCAGTATGCTCCAAGACGAGTTGCAAGCATCACTTCAGAGGTGCAGGGTAGTTAGCATCCCTCGGATATTTTCCACAGGACATGCCTGTTTATTAGGAAATGAACAGGCAGATAGACTGGTTGGTTCTGCATAACTTGGTAGTGAATTGATGGATGTCAAGCTAGGTGTTGTAAGGACCCTTTGGGAGTGAGTGAACAGTGCAGAAGCACAGATGAATCATCATGGTCTGAAGAGAATGGTACTGCAAGGGGTGACCAGAGGATCTGGTCGACGATCATCATTCAAGGGAAAGGTGAGATTGATATAGTCAGACTACTATTAGTACCATTGGAATTGGAACTGTGCACTTGCTGCTGAAGATGGGAATGGAGCACTTATGGGAATGTCCCGAGTGCTGTGATGTCGATTCTTAATTAAATATTAAACAAACATGGCAAAGAAGGTAACTTATTATAAATGTGTTGTTGTTATTTGCATTCATCGGCTAAAAACTCCGGTGGAAAGACTTGGTTGTTCATCCATTTCTGGACTTTGGCTTTGTTCCTGGACCTGAGTTATGCGTGTGCATCTGTTTTACAGATCTGACTTATTTGTATGCAGATTGTTAAAATCAGATATTTTGGGCTAAAAGCTGCAGATATCACAGTTGAGCTGTAAATCACACCACAACATACGAGCTGCCCTTATCAGGGTGAATGCAAAAGAAGAAGAATATTTCAGGAATCGGATCTTATTGCTTGTGTTTCCATGTTATTTCTGGGGGATCTGAAATATACATATTTTACTTACGGCTGACTTGTTTCTCCACATGTCCATGTTTCCAGTGTCAAGGCATTCAATGCCAATGTTGCACCATGGAAATTGGATACAGAGAACGGAGAGACTAAGAAACAGTTTCCTTGGAAAACAACAGAAGATGAATTGGAACTTCTCAAAGAAAAGGTACTACTGTTTTAACTCCTTCAGTCCCAAACAGGTGTTTCCTCAACTTGTTCTGTTCTAAGAAGGTGACACTATAAATAATCAATGTTTAGGTCTAAGAAATTAAATAACTGCACTATGGAAAATCAGGAGTTAAAGTAAGAATGGGTTAATATAACGACTATATTGGTCACAAGGAGTTCAGAAAAGTATCCATAAACTGTCATTACTGCCAGCATATGCCACTTAGAGCAGTGTAGGCAAGAGGGCTTTTACATTTTTAAACCTAAGGATTGCATGGGTTGTGCTGTCATCACGTCTGTGCAGGTTAGCATCTGTTTTTTATCTCCATAACCTCACCAAGGGTCTGAACCTGGGTCTCCTACATGAGAGCCCAACATTGTTAACCTTTCAGCCAGCCGCTCCTCTCAGACAGTTGTATCATGTCAAAACTAACACAGCTTACTGGTAAGCTGCATGGTGCTGAGTGAGTTAAAAATTCACATCATAGCACTCTAGGTATGCCTATGGATGCTCCGTCTCCTGCAACAAATGTTGTAAGGTTGCTGTAGCACACTGTATTTTTTAAATTGTCATTTTGTGTGTTTATATATGTGTGCAAGTGTTGGTAACAGTGTCCTAATTAAACACTATGTTCAGACATGATCTTCTTCGCATTCACTGGCTGTAAAATCTGAGTGTTGCGTGCACGTCTGTTTAAAAAATCTGAACTAATAGTATGCAGATTATTGGTTCCTTGCCTCTCATGCAGATGCACTCCGACTTCGAAGGAAGCCCCCAATTAGTCTACTCTTACGACATGCTCGATGAGGAGGCAGTAGGTCTTTTCTTGTTTACCCCACACAGGGACTCAATGTTAAAATGCTAGTTTACTTTCAATAAATCTACCGAGTTTTTATTTTTTGTTACCTGTTTCGCGTGAATCATATCTGTCATATATAACATAGGAATTGTTTTTTCTCCACACCATTCTTCTCTTTAAGTGCCCAATCTGGAACAGACTGGTTTTTATGACTTTCTACTTTCTTTGCCTTAACTCTTTGAGTCCCAAGGAACGCATCATGCATTCATAGATTCCTACCTAGAAGCCCAATGAACGCAAGATGCGCCGATTTTACGTCTTTCTTGACTACCCCTTGGGCCTGTGATGCTAAACCCCCTTTGACTCAAAGAGTTAATGTTGGTTTGGCTTGGTTTACTAATAATAGTTTTCCAGTTTGTGGTCATTCAGATTCAGTTAGGTGAACTTGCCACACAAAATGCAGTCAGATGTTACCATTATATTTCTGTTTCAAAAGACTATTAAGCTACTGTTATTTGTTTCCATAAACACTACTTCATCTGCATGTAAAGTTTTAAAATGTGCCCACCCTCAATCTATACCCATTGAAAGTATTTTCTTTCTGCTTTGCTTTGATCCAGACTTTCACTGTTTTCTTTTTGCAAATCATATCCAGCTTAATTAAAATATATGTTCTTGAAATCTGATGCGTTATAAATACAACCCCCTTACTCTGGAGCCCACAGAATCATAGAATAAAGCCAGCCCAAAGAAATACTTGGAGAATTGAATTAGTAGAAGTAAAGAACCTTTTTTCAATGTCTTCAGGTCTATTGGCCATATAGGGCTAGACCTGTATTTTGTAGACCCATCGGCAGCAGGTGGGTGATCTAGTCACTATCATTCCAGCCACCTTTACTTCCCTAGACTTTACCTGGTACCTGTTGGTCAAGCTGGGAGCCAAAGTCATTTTTTTTAAACAGATGAAAGGAATGAGAAAATCAGGATAAAAAGATTGAAAGGACATCTTTTGAGCTGCAGTGTGATAACGGTGGATGGGATGCGTTGGCATGAGTTGTTGTAGCCGAGGTTTCAACTTCGCTGCAGTCAGGTTTCAACTTCGCTGCAGTCAGGTTTCAACTTCGCTGCAGTCATGTTTCCCCATTCTTGCTCTGTTCCTTTACTGGTGAAAGTCAGATGAAATGTTGTTATCCCATGCTCCATTGGTAGACAAAGGACAGAAAAGGAAGCAGTGTGCTTGGAAATTTTTTTATTCCATTCAGATATCATGTAATTGTTATTAGGTATATTTACTGACAGTTGTAAATGGTTAATTTCTTTCAGACTCAGAGACATATCAGGCTTAGAGAACTTCTTCTAGAGAGATCAAGGGATGCCTCCCTTATTGTCATGTGAGTTTGTCAATTTTTTCTTATTCTTCTTCTTCCTCCTCCTCCACCTCTTCCTCCTCCTCCTCTTCTTCCTCCTCTTCTTCCTTCTCTTCTTCTTCTTCAATCCTTCTGATAGAAAACTTACATATGGAGGCTGGTAGCCTTTATGAAATGTCTTTATTGTGGGTGGAACAGGCCAGCTTGCATCTCTGTAGTCAGTATACAGTTGACAGTGTTGGAGCATATGCTCAGCGTTTTCTGGTGCCACACTCCAGACATCTCTGTGTTTCATCCACCAAAAAGTTTGAACATTTGTTGACGAAGTCTGCTGTGCCCTGGCCTTAGTCTGAATATAACACACTGTCTCTTTCTAGAGAGTTTGTCAGTGTGACGTCACAGATACGGGTGACTACAGTCATGCAGATGTCAAGAAGTAACTTAGTCACTAACTGTGAATAGAAAATTATGTGGGTTGGGAGGTCTTGGAAGCATTTGTTAGCTTTACAGAATCATTTACAATAAACAAACATAGGGTGTTGCAACGATTAGACCTCATCAGCAGAATAACAACTAGGAACAAAACACAATTTTAACAAATGAACTGAAAAAACTACAGTATTTATTTTGGTGGAAAAAATTATCTTGTATTTGTGCATGGATTTCTTTTCTTTCTGTTGAAGATCCTAGTCATAGATTATTTTGGTTTAAATTACTTCCTGATTTGGTCACTGGTTTATTTATTTGTTGATGTAGTTTTTTTTTTTTTTTATACAGTTTAAAAAAAAAAAAGATGTACATTGCAATGAAATGGACATGTTATGGCTTTTCCAGAAGGACAGAGGGAAGGGAAGAGGAGTCAAGGCAGGCCAAAAAAGACCTGGATACAGAATGTGGCAGACTGGAGAGACCACAAACACAAAAGCATCAAGTACAACACATCTGATTGAAAGAAAAGAAAAGACATGATCAGACAGACAGTCAGCAGTAACTCAATGACCCAACAATGAACAGTTCTGTGAAGTTTAGATAGACAGACAAACAGATTAGATAGATAAAAAGACAGATAGATAGATGGATTTCAAAGGTTTCAAATTTAATTCTTTATCCATCCCAAATATTTCATGAACCAACTAAGCCCAAACCTTCATTTTGAATTTCTTTCCTAACTAGATGTAACCTAATCTACCCAATTCTAGCTGCTGTTAAACTCGTTGAATAATTCTTATTTTGTTTGTTTAAGGACACTACCTATGCCTCGAAAAGCCACCTGCTCTGCTGGTCTGTACATGTGCTGGATTGATACGCTAACCCGAGACATGCCGCCTTTCCTGCTGGTCCGAGGCAACCAGGAGAGTGTGCTGACTTTCTACTCCTAAGCTGACCCCCATTAGAGCACATTGAGGAAGCTAACGCCATGATGAGCTTTCAGGCTGGTTGTCCCTAAAAACCTTATCAAGGGGGGGAAGGATGTTCTGTTATAATGCCTTAGCACTGACCTAAAAGTGTCACTGTGTTCTTAGACACTCTTATATGTATACACTTCCCAAAGTAATGTCCACAGCGAACATTCATATTCACAATGCAGACACAATGAGAGACTGATGTGATAAGTACTTTCAATGCCTCAAGAACAAAATATGGAGGAATTGGTAATCTCAGTGTGATATTGAATAGATATAAGTCTCTAGAACATCTCTTATATTGTATCTTAGTGCTTATTACAGTATTCTCAAGATCATTTAGTAAACAAAGAAAGCCATCTGGACAGAACATCAAGTAAATTTTTATTGTAAATTGTTGACATCACAGCAACCTACTGCACATCTTGGAAATACACTGTTATGTAAATTGTTTAGTATCTTAGTTATCTAAGATGGATTTTATGTTTCCATTTAGCTTCTGTCATGTGATTCATTTTGCTTCTGTTGTGTGATTTACCTTTTTAGTTTTTCAACACATTTGTGAATTACAATCAGCTTTTTCTTTGGGATAATGAACACTTTGTTTTTCTGTCTAGCACACTATACTCTGTGTCTTCCATATGATTATAACCATTTCAAAGCTTCTTTTATTATTTCAGTTGCTTTTTTCTTTATTTCTCACCAGTAATTTGCGTTTTGTCACTGTAAGACTTAAACACTTTTTCTGGTTGTTTTAAGATTTGAACAGTTGACATATACCCTAGATTTACACGATGCTATATTTTACTTAGGTAGCCCATATCTCATTGTATTACACCAGGGTTGTTGTGATGTACCGTGTAGTTTGCAGATTACTGGAGTCTAGTTCTGTTTATGACACACTGCACATGACACACTGCACAGTTGTCATTTACTATTAGTTCTTACCAGTTGCAGAAGCATACAGTTCAGGCTTGGTATTCAGCAGTTTGGGCTGGGTACCTACTCAGCAGGTCAGACTTGGTACTACACAGTCATGACTGGCTGCCACATATTCAGGTTAGGTACCACATAGTTGAAGCTAGATACCTCACAGGGAATGTTCAGGCTGGGTACCACAGAGTTCAGACATGGTATCCAGCAGTTTAGCCTGGGTACTCAGCAGGTCAGGCTTAGTGCTACACATTCAGGTTAGGTACCACATAGTTAAAGCTTGGTACCTCAACAGTTCAGGCAGGGTACCACAGAGTTCAGGTTGGGTATCACAGAGTTAGGGTAGGGTACCACACAGTTCAGGCTGGGTACCACATAATTTAAGCTAGGTACCACACAGTTCAGGTTGGGTTGGGTATCACAGAGTTAAGGTAGCGTACCACACAGTTCAGGCTGGGTACCACACAGTTCAGGCTGGGTACCACATAATTTAAGCTAGGTACCACACAGTTCAGTTTGGGTACCACAATGTTCATGTTGGTTACCACACAGTTCAGGTGGGTACCACACAGTTCAGGTTGGGTACCACATAATTTAAGCTAGGTACCACACAGTTCATGTTATGTACCACACAGTTCAGGTGGGTACCACACAGTTTAGCCTGGGTATCACACAGTTCAGGTTGGGTAGCACATAGTTTAAGCTGGGTGCTACACAGTTCAGGTTGGGTAGCACATAGTTTTAGCTGGGTGCTACACAGTTCATGTTGGGTACCACACAGTTCAGGTTGGTTACCACACAGTTCAGTTCGGGTAGCACATAGTTTTAGCTGGGTGCTACACAGTTCATGTTGGGTACCACACAGTTCAGGTTGGATACCACACAGTTCAGGTTGGGTAGCACATAGTTTTAGTTGGGTGCTACACAGTTCATGTTGGGTACCACACAGTTCAGGTTGGGTACCACACAGTTCAGGTTGGGTAGCACATAGTTTTATCTGGGTGCTACACAGTTCATGTTGGGTACCCACAGTTCAGTTCGGGTAACACATAGTTTTAGCTGGGTGCTACACAGTTCAGACTGTATGTATCCCACAGTTCATGTTTGTTACCCTACAGACAATCTGGTTACTACTAAGTTCAGGCTGGTTAGAAAACCATGTAATGTTTTCAGCTTTAATAACTTATTGAATCTTTATTTTTAAGCACAGTTGGATACATAACCTCTTCTGTTTCATCCAAATATTACATTAACTGACTTCTAACTTTAACTTTTTAATTCCTTTCCCAGACTTTGCAATTTATTCCACTTATTCTAGTAACTTTGTAGCTCAATCTAAAGCAGGCAGCTGTTTCTGAATTTCTTTCTAGAGTAGCTTAATGTAACAGCTGGGATAGAGTAGCTTAGCTCTTTTGGTCCCAAGCAAATGTTGATTTAACTTGTCATGTCCTCAACAATTGGAACTTGAAGAAAAACATGCATGGGTTTGAACATATGCAAATAACAACACTGTTTGTCAAAGGGAGTTGAAATAAGTTGGGATAGATTAGACTAAAGCACATGATGCTATGTAAAGAGCTGTCAGTAAACACACAGTGAGTTGCTTGGTACTGAAAGAGTGAAGGTAACATTTGGGATTCAGCGGCTTAATGTGATAACTGGGATGGAGTGGGCTAATGTAACAGCTGGGGTAGAGTGGCTTGATGTAATAACTTGTATAAAGTAAGTTAATATAACTTCTGGGATAAAGTGGGTTCAGGTAACATCTAGGGTAGAGTGGTTTAATGAAAAATCTGAGATAGAGTGGGTTAATGTAACAGCTGTTTATGAGGGGCTTAATGTAATAAATAAGATAAAGTAAGTTAACATCTGAAATAGGGTGCCTTAAGATAACATCTGGGATGAAGTCACTTAAGGAAACATCTGGGATAGAGTGTGTTAGTGTAACAGCCATTCATAAGTGTGTTAAGGTAATAAATAAGATAAAGTAAGTGAATGTAACATCTGGAATAGAGTGGCTTAAGGTAACATCTGGAATAGCGTGGGTTGATGTAACAGCTGGATTGAGTGGCATAATTTAAAAAATAAAGGAGACACAAGGAGATAAGTAAAAAGTAACATATCATGGAAACAATAACCAATTAAAATAAAATCATGATGCATTTAAATGCATGAATGAAGTTCAACCGCACAATGAAGGATAAACACCCGGTGATACAAAGTGCCACCATTCAGATGAGAATCACCCTGGCACAAGTTTGTGAAACCCTGCTCAACTGTTAGGTTATATTAGGGTCCCCCGACAACAGCCAGAGTAGGGCTTTTAAAGAGAAAAAGTTGCGTCCCATATTGGGATGGTAGTGTAGGTTTCATTATGCATTGTTTTCCCATTCCAATTCCAGTTGATTAACAAAAATTCCAACTTGATGCTTTTTCAGCCGACCGGAGGCCTGCTATATGAAGGAAGGTTCCTTGGCTATCTTATTTGGTTTCCTTTTATTTGTGGTGTGAAGTCACACCTGATATTCCTGTTCTTTGTCTTCCTAAGTCCGGTGTGGTACTTGGGGTTCTGGGTCAAGGCTGGTCCAGCTCTCTTAGCTCCTATCTCTGTGGGTTTTAGCTGACTGTTGCTTGGTTTAACTCGTGCTGATCGCTGCGCTAGTGCCCTATTGCCTGCTGGGTTACCGTTCTTTGCATTGTTTTCGTAGTGAATGAGTTATTTATATCAGTTCTCTGCATTATTTCATGTTGTAAAATTAATATTGAAGCAAAAGTTGCGGCTAGTTTCAAGTTTTTGACGGTGTTCATAATATGCATTAGGTGATGCTTGTTTCCAAGACGCATAGCTAATTCTCTAGGTTGTGTTTTTTCTTGTGCACTGTTTAGGAGGTAAGGAAACGATTATATTGACTTTAAAAAAAGTTTTAATCTGGAGGGGGGGGGGGGTCTTGGGAACAAAATTGTTATTTTAAAGCCAATTTGACGACATCATTTGCCCATAGCTTTATGTTATAAATATATATCCAGGGAAATGAAATCCAGTTACCTTTTTCCTCCATTCATGTTCAATTATTTTTTTCCAGAGAAGAAATTATAAAAATTTGTATTTTGGAAAAAATTTCAACATAAAGAATTCTTTAAGGACTTTTTGTTTTGTTTTCTAGAATTCCCTGGAGCTGATGTAATTTTTGTTTTGGGGATGACAGGCCTAATAAGGATATCAGCTAGATACTTCATGTTAATATTTATTATGTGTTCCTTTTTGTCACTGAAGTACCTCTAGTTCCCGGGTGGATAAAATATGACCTGTAGGTCAAAACAATTTTTACTGGCCTGCGAGGCTGGTTAAAATTACTAAATAATCTGGTCCTTAAGTTCACAAAATAGCAGAACACAAAAACAAATGTTTGTATAAAAAGATCAAAATATCAGCATTCAAAAAAGGTTATAAGCTAAACATAACCAAAAACTAATGTCACCAGATCTCAGTAATATAATTTCTGCATATAACCAGCTTGATGGACAGACCATTTGTGGAATATACACAAGGGCTTCAGTGGGTGAGTGTGTCTGACCAGAGCCATAGTAAGGGATTATAGTCTTAGATTATCTGGGTGTTATTTATAGTTTTAGATTATCTGGGCGTTATGTTTAAAATGGATCATTTTCTATATGGCCCGCGACCAGTTTGATGAATCTAAATTGCCTGGATGGCTAGCGCAGTTGGCTAAACCTGACCTCGAGGCAACCGGGAGACGAACTCCTTGTGGTCCGGGTTCACGCCTTGGGGTAGGCAAGAAAATCCACATTTCTCCCAGATTTACGGTGTTTATCATGGAATCAAGAACCAAGGGTTGCGATATCCATAGTAACGAGCCAAAGGGTTAACATAACAACTCATGGTTTCTGGATATTGAAAAGAAATGAGAATCCTAATAAGCCCACGGATCCATACAAAAAAAAGTTGCCTACTCCTGCCCTAGGTACTTTATTGCTTTCTGAAAATAGTCCACCAAAAAATGTTTGCACATTTTAACAAATAA